TAGTAAGGCATCTGTATCTTACTCACACATGCTGAAAATGTAGGCCAGATACTAGTCCAATATATAAAAATATATGTCTGAGAGAAAACAGAAATCCTTCAAATACCTGTTTTAGAGTTTTTACAGCATATTTAGGAACTCTTCAAAACAAATTCAAAGATATACCTTTCCTCGTGTGTAGGCAAGAGGTAATATTAAGAACAGTACAGCATGAAAATAAAGACTCAGTGGAGAGCTGGCATCAATTTCTATCTAAAAGCTCTTTACTATCTAACTCTTTGTACAAAGCCAAGTGTTCAAGAGTACTCCTTTCCAAAATCAAATACRTGAAACACTATCACAAAATTTTATCTTATATTACATCACTTTTTGATAAGCTACTAAGCAGATGTAGTTTGCAGTTTCACACAGTTGTGAATTCGTAGGAAAAATTAAGCACATAGCTAAATTTAAACGTGTCACTAGACCCTTTAAAGGAAAATAATTTCAATCTTGTCTATTAGCAAGTAAGTGCAGCTAACCATCTTTGCGGGCTGGAAACCATGGGATAGTTCCTAAAATTGTCTAAGCTATTAAAAACAGCAATCTTTGATTAGAAGGGTGAAGTTGAAAGATACTCTTAAATGGCACCTACAACATCTACATGAACATTGCCATTCAATGCTAGAGATAAAGTAACAAAATAAATAAAATACATTAAAGATATGCAGTTATACAATATCTGGGTGCAACTTCGGAGGGCGTTTTGMAAATCTGACTCAGAATGTCTTGTTTCAGTGGAGTTTATAGTTYAACCTCAGAGTCATCTATGTACAGMTGCCTGTCTATTTAATCAAAAATAATAAGCTGCATTCAACTTAATGACAGTTAAAAATGTATTCCAATCTAAAATATAAATGCTGAGACAGTTTTTAGTCTTATATGCTTTGAGTATTAAACCATGGAAGTTTATTTACTTTACTAAATATAACCATAGCAGATAGGAACTTTGAAATTTAATCTTTAAGTCATCTAAATATTTGCATGACAGCAACATATAAAGAATTTCACTAAAACAGTGGAAGCACAGTAGCAAATCCAAATGCTAAATCTTTTGTCTCATGAATAGCTTCTCAGAAATACTTGTGTTTAAACAATAAATTAAATACTGAGCCATGCTGCTCTCTCAGGAAGAGACGATTATTCAGAATTATCATGGCAATGTCAGATAAATATTGTCTCTAAATATTAAAGATATTTTTTGTTTAGATAGATCATTTACAGGATCTTAGGTGAAAAATTGTGCCAGGAAAATCAAGTCTTACAAGCTCTGAAAATTCCAATACCTGCATGACACGACACTTGACAAATCTGACTCCCAGTATTGTAAAATCCTGAACAAGTAAGCAAGTTACAAAGTAATCAGTACCAYTGTTACACACACACAAAAAGACCAGAACCAACCAAAAAAATCAAAGACAGTGTTTTCAACCCAATCATTCTTGTATTYATACTAACTTTTCATCTGCTTTTCCATCAGTTTAGTGAAGTTAGCCATGATTTACCAGCATAAAACTCTGTACTCATAATAAAACAATTAGACCCTTTCTATGTAAAATATTCAGTAGGAATATTGGTTGGAAAAAAAGGTCTTAGGCAATTCTCTTTCATAGTAAGTAGCATGCAGCACATAGCATATAAGGAATTTAGAATACTTTCTTTAAGGGCTATATCCCAATACATGTGCATGTTGCTAAGCTTACCACCAGTGCAGTGTCATTATCATTTTAAGCTTGTTTCCCACATTCCTTACAGATTTCTCTAAAAAGCCAGCATGYTATAGAACTTTCTCATACTCCTTTGTGACAAATCGTCTTTTCAATCCATTTCATCAGAAATAYTTTAGCACAAGTGAGAGCTTAAGAAATGGAGCTCTGCAAATCTCTGTTGTTACCATCTAGAGCATATGAAAACTTCTTCATAAAACCACCACTCAAGCAGACTGCAACTGTAGTTAGAAATTCATAACCAGTAAACAAAAAAAAAGAAGACAGCAGGAACAGTACACCAAAGAGAATGGAACTCCACTGTCCCTATGTAGAGTCTACAATCACTAYATTTGTACTTGTGATTGCAGCAGAGGTCAGCATTGGTATTGTAGTTGTGAGCTCATGGAAGAAGCAAAGACATAACAAGTGGACTCAAATTCAAATAACATTCAAACTCTCCACCATATGCTGCTCTGTCCCCCTTCTAACCAAAACAACAAGAACAAAATTAGCAGGGATTTATCATGCTAACATTACCCCTCCCAATGCAGTGCACATAGATGCTGTGTCTTATGGTGGTAAGCAGGAAGAATTATTTTCACTGGGACAGAAAATATTCAAGGGAGTATTTTGTACCCACTCAAAGCAAAAGCCACCTAAAARAACTTACTCCTACAACTGCAATAATACCATTAGCTTCCAAATATCATGAATGTGATCCCATTCTCTACTATGAAATCATAAAATATTTGGATTACAAAAAATGAGAAAGAAAAAAAACCAAGGAGAACTGTTTCAGCAATTAAAACATCATGCAACCAGTATAGTCCCTTCCAAAGAGACTGTGATTGGGCTAAAACCATTCCTCTGTCCTTGCACAGAYTTGTGACATGACTACTAGATGTGATTTTCTGCTCTCCTAAGTAACYATTCCAAGTAAAGCCAAAAGTCTCMCTCACATGCTTAGCAGCTGCCTGAAAAGTCTCAGTATAATACTTTGCAAGAGATAATTTGCAGGTCTGTGACAGGATGATGCTCTACAGCACACTTTCTCATAGAAAATTCTTCCAGGTCTCAGTCCCTCATTTCCCTCAGTTYTTTGCATAGCTCATACAACAGATTATCATATAATCACAGAGTATCCTGAGCTGGAAGCCACCCACTAAGRTCATCGAACAACCAACTCTCAACTTAGAATCTATCTTCAACTCCATTAGGAAATGAAGGAAGGTATAGTAAGAAAAAATTATTTTCACTTTACTCTCTTCTTTTTTCTCTCTTATTTACTGCATATAGTTAAATTGAATGCAAATTCAAATGAAAAGTTACATAAGACATAGAAAATATTATTTGAGGGCTCTTCATAATCACCATGGTCTTGCTGCAGTCTGTGGTGCCTGAGCAAGAACTCAGTCCAAAAATATCATGTACAGAAAAACATTGAAAGGCTGTGATTTCATGCCTACTGTTACCTTCAGGTTTAAGTAGCTCCCTTGGCTTTTGCACTTGTAGCAATTAGAATTTCCAGACAGCTCAGTGGCAGATATTCTAGGTGTTCTTTATATTGCAGCACTAACTGGCAGATGGCAGTCAATTCTTACCATGAGTGAATTAAACTCACTCATATAACACATGGCTGTAAACCTAAAGACTTTTTAAAAGCTTTCAAAGTTTTCATTCTGCCTTTTATAGCTACAAAGCAACAACAGTCAGCTATGTGACGTAAGTCTCAAATTTTATCATGGGCTAAGACTTACACTAGGATATGCAGGTTCCCATGCTGTTGTTTCTGGATCTCATGAATACATTTCTACACATTTCCACTCATGCTAGTCTTTCCAGTAATAAGGTTATTTAAATATAGGAGARCACTATCTACTGAAGAACAAATATGTGCCTGATCAGAAAACTGGATTACCAGAAAAAGAAGAGAAATAATCTGCCATATGTTTGTGATTTRTTAGTCTAGTTGCCTGAAGTTGGAATTTTATCAGGATTGTATCCTACATCTGAGAGATTATATACTTTTCCATTACCAGGAGGGTACTTAATATATCCAGATGTCAAAGGTTAAACTATATTTATGTCAACTTTGACAGGCTCTCTTCTTCTAATGACCTGAAGTCCATGAGGACCACAAGTAATTAGCACTCTAGAAAAGTCAGAGCTTTAGGCCTTCGGGGGATTTTTCAGGTTGTTTTTGTAAGCAGGTACTAATTTTTGAGTTTTAAGTTACACTGTGGCATTATTATACATCACTGCATTAGATTTTCTTCTTTCCTGCCCACTATTAAAAATTTGCCAATGTAAATTCAGATATSGTAATTAACTCCAACTCCCTGCCTGTCTGTGCAACAGTTACCTGGTCAAAAAGCAACTGAATGCTTTTTAAACCCACAATTAACTGGGTGTTGCAGATGTATAAGGACTTTCTATTTTTAACAATTGCTGGTTGCAACCTCTAATAAACTGCTTTCCTTAACTTCAACACCCATCCATAATGAGCACTTCAGATTTACAAGCAAATTCAAATACACTTTATAATAAATATTATAGGATAAAATCAGACAAGGGGAGGGGGAAAGAAGTGAGAAGGTACTACTTAGTAAGCAAAATGTGAAATTGCTATAGTCAAACCCTGAGAACTTACCAGACACTTTATTAGCAAGGCAGTACTTTACAGTGCTGCTTTTAAAATATGTTAACACTATATCACAGTTCCGGGCAGCATGAAGTCTTTCCAGAAAATGTGTCATCACTGTATGCAGCATATTTTACAGCCAGTATAATTTCATTTTATTATATCCAATAATATTTTTCTGAAATTCTAGGAAGTCTCCCCACAAAAGATAAGTAATGACCATATTTTAATCAGCTGGCACAAAGTGTAACCACCATAATGCAGGGAAAAAAAAAGCCTTTATAGCACCAAAATGCCCTCAGATTCATTTTGTATCTGTAGAAGAGATCGTGAATAAAACCTGTGAGAATCTTATTCAAGTATTATGTAGCACAACACCTTTCAACTGTGAAGTTATTTAATGCCAAGACTGAATTTTATAGTTGAACTATTCTTGACAGAAGAAGCTGAATAAGCCCAGAATCCTACRCAGTGTACTATTGTAGCAAGAAAAGCTGGAAATTATGCCAACAAAGGCTGAAATATAGCCGTTTGTTTCATACGTCCACAAGCATTCTGTAAAAATGGGCTGTACACCTCTAAGTGAAATAATGTAATTTTCCTTTTCTTACCAGGCTTAGATTTCTGCTTTGTGRTCTGCCCGTCACTGGAAAACATTGGTGTGGAGCCCGGTATAATGGTCCTTTCCTCTAAATCAGACTCTGGGATTGTAGCACAGCCACCTAGTTGAAAATGGAAGATACTTAATGAATGTGGTGTTTATGTAACAAAACAAATTTGCTAGTGCATAATTGAGGAAAAGAGGAGATAAATTTAGCTGACAGGAATACATAAAACTGAAATAGTCGTTATTCTCACTTCACAGAAACATTTGTTAAACAAAACTATTACCATTGTTTAGAAGACTGATTATGCCTTAATGATTTCTCTCTATTACTTATGTCATTTTGAAAAAAAAAGTTTGAGTTAATTTAGACCACAGAATATGCAAGACTGGTTCCATATAAAACATGGAAAATAATGTGATTTGTGTGAAAGATCAGATTACTGGGAGCTATTTTGGTAATAAAGTAATTAAGTGTGAATGAAATAACTTTACAAAATCAACAACCCTTATGAAGATTGTTAGCTTGCCACAGAAAATGACATGGTGATTTTTTTGGATGGGCTATTAAATACTGTATTTTTATTACTTGGTGTTAAAGATATGGAAACACAGGGACACTTTCAATGTCCAATAACACTGGGAACTTCTTACTCAAGTGATTAGAGGATGTATGGTATAATATCTTCTTTGTATTTTTCAACACTGCTTCACAAGCCATCCATTAGACAACACACTTACAACTTTTTCTTCAAATATCTTTAAATGCTTATGCTTAAAATATGAAGAGAGGTATAATCTAGTGGTAGTAGTAGTAGTATCAGCTGAAGATAGCTGTAATGGCTTGCAGTGGAATGGGTTGATGTAAATTTATCTCAGAACAGCTGTGGTCAGGATACTGGAGGATGTGTCATTATTCCAGAGCAAAAAGGTGGCCTTGCAGTACATTGCCAAAAATACAGCACACAGCTGAGCTGCATCTTTTTCTCACAGCCCTCCCAGGAACAACACTCGCAAGCAAACAAATCCATGCACTCATGTACTGTGCTCTTGAAGCACATGTTTATAAGCAGCACATCAACTCCCAATGGAGAACACAGACTTTTCACCTTCATGTCAGAGTTGTTCTATTTTAAAAAGACATTTTCTACTCCATGCCCCATAAAAAGTGCATCAAATTTGCAGCAATACAGGCAATTCTCCCTTTACAAACTAGAAGAGTAAAACAGTTAAAAATAAGGTTGCATTCTTAAGTAGGAGGATTGCATTTTCCCAGGCAGTTTCGGAAGCACTGGCAGGGTAAAGCACGACACCTCCAGTGAACCTTGTGAAAACACTCAATCCTACCAGATGAAAAACCAAAACAACATCTTTTGATCCTAAGGAAGAGTAAAGATACAAGCCACTTTATCCAAATACACCTTGAGAAAAAGCGTAAGGTGCCTCACAGGATTTATGTTTGATTTACAGCAAGCAAATTTTGTCAGTAAGAAAGGAAGGTTAGGAGTAAATGTGTCAATGTGCAGACTTGCAACCCATGACAACTTCCAATATTTAGGATACCTG